GCGGCATGTCGGTGATCAGTGTGATGATGGTAGAGGAGTGATCAGTGCGATGACGGCGGTATGTCGGTGATCAATGCGATGATGGCGGTATGTCAGTGATCAGTGCAATGATGGCGGTATGTAGGTGATCAGTGCGATGATGGCGGTATGTCGGTGATCAGTGTGATGATGGTAGAGGAGTGATCAGTGCGATGATGGGGTAGGTAGGTGATCAGTACGATGATGGTAGAGGAGTGATCAGTGCGATGATGGTGGTAGGTAGGTGATCAGTGCGATGATGGTAGAGGAAAGATCAGTGCGATGATGGTGGTAGGTAGGTGATCAGTGCGATGATGGTAGAGGAAAGATCAGTGCGATGATGGCGGTAGGTAGGTGATCAGTGCGATGATGGTAGAGGAGTGATCAGTGCGATGACGGCGGTAGGTAGGTGATCAGTGCGATGATGGTAGAGGGAGTGATCAGTGCCATGAGGGCGATAGGTAGGTGATCAGTGCGATGACGGCGGTATGTCGGCGATCAGTGCGATGATGGCGGTATGCCGGTGATCAGTGCGATGATGGCGGTATGTCGGTGATCAGTGCGATGATGGCGGTATGCCGGTGATCAGTGCGATGATGGCGGTATGCCGGTGATCAGTGCGATGATGGGGTATGTCGGTGATCGTGCGATGATGGCGGTAGGTGTCTGTGCGTGATGGCGGTATGTCAGTGATCGTGCGATGATGGCGGTAGGTGATCAGTGCGATGATGGCGGTAGGTGATCAGTGCGATGATGGCGGTATGTCGGTGATCAGTGCGATGATGGCGGTATGTCGGTGATCAGTGCGATGATGGTAGAGGAGTGATCAGTGCAATGATGGCGGTAGGTGATCAGTGCGATGATGGCGGTAGGTGATCAGTGCGATGATGGCGGTAGGTGATCAGTGCGATGATGGCGGTAGTGATCAGTGCGATGATGGTAGAGGAGTGATCAGTGTAATGACGGCGGTATATCGGTGATCAGTGCGATGACGGCGGTATGTCGGTGATCAGTGCGATGACGGCGGTATGTCGGTGATCAGTGCGATGACGGCGGTATGTCGGTGCTCAGTGCGATGATGGCGGCATGTCGGTGATCAGTGCGATGACGGCGGTATGTCGGTGATCAGTGCGATGACGGCGGGTTATGTCGGTGATCAGTGCGATGACGGCGGCATGTCGGTGATCAGTGTGATGATGGTAGAGGAGTGATCATGCGATGACGGCGGTATGTCGGTGATCAGTGCGATGATGGCGGGTATGTCGGTGATCAGTGCGATGACGGCGGTATGTCGGTGATCAGTGCGATGATGGCGGCATGTCGGTGATCAGTGTGATGATGGTAGAGGAGTGATCAGTGCGATGACGGCGGTATGTCGGTGATCAATGCGATGATGGCGGTATGTCAGTGATCAGTGCGATGATGGCGGTATGTAGGTGCTCAGTGCGATGATGGCGGTATGTCGGTGATCAGTGTGATGATGGTAGAGGAGTGATCAGTGCGATGATGGTGGTAGGTAGGTGATCAGTACGATGATGGTAGAGGAGTGATCAGTGCGATGATGGTGGTAGGTAGGTGATCAGTGCGATGATGGTAGAGGAAAGATCAGTGCGATGATGGTGGTAGGTAGGTGATCAGTGCGATGATGGTAGAGGAAAGATCAGTGCGATGATGGCGGTAGGTAGGTGATCAGTGCGATGATGGTAGACGTGATCAGTGCGATGACGGCGGTAGGTAGGTGATCAGTGCGATGATGGTAGAGGAGTGATCAGTGCCATGAGGGCGATAGGTAGGTGATCAGTGCGATGACGGCGGTATGTCGGCGATCAGTGCGATGATGGCGGTATGTCAGTGATCAGTGCGATGACGGCGGTATGTCGGTGATCAGTGCGATGACGGCGGTATGCCGGTGATCAGTGTGATGTAATGGGACGATGCCTGTAGGAAGGTGATGAGTCCCGTGAAGTCCCAGCCTAGTTCCAGGCTCGCCCGGTGACAGGAGCAGCAAATCAGGGCTCTGTCTCCGTGCAGTCCTCCCCTCCTCCCCCTCAGCCTGGTGATGATGGGTGTGCGAGTCTTGTTACCATGCTCCCTAAATGACACGTTCGGTGACGGCAGAGTCTTGTTGCGGGGTAGACCGTGCAGTGACAGGCGACGGAGCGGTAGGGGTTAATGTGTGGGCCCCTCCCCCCGCCCGGCACACACACACCGTGCTATGAATAATAGTGACAAGGAGCCCTCCGCCATCCCAGCACACTCCGCACATGACCTCAGCCGCCTCGGGTTCAGCGGCAGCGCCCCCTCCCCCACCTCAGACAGTCAGCCAGACGGCGCACACACCCCCCTCGCTCTTCTTGAAGGGGGCGGGATCTTATTGTGTAAACAAGGCGGATCCAGGACGGGGTCGGGAAGCCTATTGGCCGAGGGCAGCAGACAGGGCGGGGAGGAGGTTGGCGGCCGCCCCTTCTCGCCATGCAGTTCTTCCCGCGGCACGCCCCCCATCTGCAGCTGCAATTGCCCGCCGCTCCTGGCCGCCTTCCCTTTCCTTCCTGCTCTCACTCTCCTGGCCTGGGGGGGACTTCCAGAGAGGAGCACGTGGGCTGCACACAGGGCAAGCTGAGCGGAGAAGGAGCGCGGACACGGCTTCTCCGGCTACGACAGACACGTAGGACGAGTCCATTGACGGCACGGCCCCGTCTCACCGTCCTCCCCCCTTCCCCACACCGCCGTTCATTGAGAGCGGCGGCAGCCGTGTGTGTGAATGTAGAAGGGGGCGTGACAGGCAGCACTGCTCTGTCCTTCTCCGTTATGTCTCAGCCTCACCCACACCGGAGAGAACTGTCATACATACATGTATATACGGGGGTGTCAGCACCCCAACACGGGAGCAATCCTACAGAGGAACTATAGAACGGTCCTGCCCGGATCTGTCATTCTGCACCTCTGTACATGTGTCTGGACTGCCTGGTTACCGAGAGCACGGCATATACATCCAGCTGGAAACGTCTAGACAGCCCTCCGTACACTGACAGCACCGACCGTGACCGCACGCTGGGCTATACATACATATACAGATGATGAGGTATACACACACACAGATCTATGGACACGGGTACATACATGGGAGGGAAGCACTGTGTGTGTATACATATGATGAGGTGGACACAGGTACATACATGGGAGGGAAGCACTGTGTGTGTATACATATGATGAGGTGGACACAGGTACATACATGGGAGGGAAGCACTGTGTGTATATATACAGATGATGAGGTATATACAGATCTATGGACACAGGTACATACATGGGAGGGAAGCACTGTGTGTGTATATATACAGATGATGAGGTATATACAGATCTATGGACATAGGTACATACATGGGAGGGAAGCACTGTGTGTATAACTGATGAGCTATACATGAATACATAGGTACATGAAGCACTGTATTTGTACAGATGCACACTCATAACTATATACATGCATGGTGAGGCATGTACACACAGACAGATCTGTAGGTAAGCTGTTTACATATAAACAGATGTTGAGGGGTGTGCACACACACAGATCTATATATACACACTGATCTGAATGTACCTGTGTGGAAGCACTGTGTATAGAAACATAATGGAGGTAAACACTGTGTGTATATATACACACACCATGAGCTGTACCATGTATACATACACATCTATATACATAGATACACTGAGATTGGTAGGTAAGCACTGTGTACATACAAAGATAATGAGGTATGCCCATAGATCTGTATACTCAGATTAATGGCTGTGTGTATATAAACAGGTGATGATGGAGTACACACCTACATACAGATCTGTGTATACAGTGAGATCTGCTGTTAGGTGTGTATACATATACAGGTGATGATGAGGTGTGCACACACATATAAATCTGGCTGTGTATACAGTGAGCTCTGTAGGTGAGACGTGTCTATATACAAAATGAAGATGAGGCGTGCACATACATATAGATCAGTAGGTGAGCACTGTGTGTATACATCTGATGATATGTACATAGATCTGTATACACAGTGACATCAGTAACTGTCTATATACAGGTGGTGATGCTGATGTACACACCTACATACAGATCTGTGTATACAGTGATCTCAGTAGGTGAGCAGTGTGTGTATATAGACAGACGATGAGCTGGTATGTACACACATAGATGTAGGTGGTGAGGTGTGCACCTACATAGAGGTCTGTACACAGCTCGGTGGGTATGTGTGTGTTTATATGTACACACCTACATAGAGGTCTGTGTGTAGTGATCTCGGTGAGCAGTGTGTATAGACAGCTGGTGATGAGGTATGTACACACAGATGTGTAGATCGGTAGGTATCTCTGTGCACACCTACATATAGACCGATGTCGGTAGGGGAGCAGCAGTACGGTTGTTGATGATGTACACACACCTATAGATCTATATATATAGATTACACACACATCTCCCTCTCTCTCTCGCTCGCTCTCGCTCTCCCCCGGCCTCGCAGGAAAGTTTGCTGTGTGTGAATCGGAATGAGGTCAGCTCTGGAGCTTCTCATTGCACGCGGTGATTATTATTGCATCGCGTTCCCAGCCAATGGGGAGCGGGCGGGCGGAGCTTGGCACGAGGGAGCGTTGGAAACAGGCCGGGATTGGCGGAGACGCGCTCGGGGAAGGGATAAAGGGACGCGAGGCGGAATCGAGTCGAGCTGTTAGCAGTGTGAGGAGGCTCAGTCAGTGTGTGCACATACATGCCGTCTATACATAGCAGTGTCTCCTCAGGACTCCCCAGAGCTGAGTGCAGGCTCGTGGCTGGCTCTGTATGAACGCCGTCCTCCCGGAGCGGAGCCTTCTGTCTGTAATAAAGTGTGCCCGCTCCTAGAGACATGGCTGGCCGCGGCCGGAGGGGCCAGTAAGAGTCCCGTGTTTGGATGCCCCCAGCGCCTGGAGTGGTCCGGGACTCCTCGTCAGCAGGCAGCATGGTCCAGCAGAGCGGCACGGCCGAGAACACCGAGGCGCTGTTGGCCGGAGAGAGCTCGGAGTCCGGCGCCGGCCTGGAGCTGGACATGGCCTCGTCCCCGACCCCGGGCTCCACCGCTTCCACGGGGGGCAAAGCCGACGACCCGAGCTGGTGCAAGACCCCGAGCGGGCACATCAAGCGGCCGATGAACGCCTTCATGGTGTGGTCTCAGATCGAGCGGCGGAAGATCATGGAGCAGAGCCCGGACATGCACAACGCCGAGATCTCTAAGCGGCTGGGGAAGCGCTGGAAGCAGCTGAAGGACAGCGATAAGATCCCCTTCATCAGGGAGGCTGAGCGGCTGCGCCTCAAGCACATGGCCGACTACCCGGACTACAAGTACCGGCCCCGGAAAAAGGTCAAGGCCGGCGGAGGAAGCAGCGGCGGCTCCTCCAAACCCGGCGGGGGGGACAAGAGCTGCGGGAGCCCCGGCGCTCCGGCCAAGCCGGCGGTGAAGAAGAGCGGCGGGGGGACCAAGCTGCTCAGCAAGCCGAAGCTCCTGCTAGGGGGGAAGGCCGTGCCGGAGCAGCCGTGTGTCCTGGACCACCATTCCCTGTACAAGTCCCGGACTCCCGCCGCCAATAAGAAGGCCAAACCCCGCCTGTACATCTTCGGGGCCCCGGGCTCCTCACCCATGGCCGTCCCCGCCAGCCCCACACTCAGCAGCAGCAGCTCCGGCGAGGCCAGCGACCCGCTCAGCCTGTACGAGGACGGGGCCGGCTCCCTCAACACGTCCCCGGGCTCCCCTCACTCCTCCTCAGCCTCCTCCTCCCCCGCCTCCTCTTCCTCCTCCTCTTCTTCTTCCCCGGCCTCCTCCTCGGACGAGGAGCTGGAAGACGAGTTCCTGGAGCTCAACCCCAGCCCCGGCTTCGACAGCATGGCCCTGGGCGGCTTCAGCACCTCAGCCCTGGACAGGGACCTGGACTTTCACCTGGAGGCCGGCTCCGGCTCTCACTTCGACTTCCCGGACTACTGCACCCCGGAGGTGAGCGAAATGATCTCCGGGGACTGGCTGGAGTCCAGCATCTCCAACCTGGTCTTCACCTACTGAGCCCGCCCGTCCGACACACTCTGTTATATATAGATACGAAATAAACGGGGTTCCCCCGCACAGCACACGGGGCCCTTGTGGAGGGACGTGTGCCCGCTCTGCCTCACACACGAGACCACCAAGCCCGGATAGCTCAGTCGGTAGAGAATCAGACTTTTTCAAGCTGAGGGTCGTGGGTTCGAATCCCTGCTGGGGCAACTGAAAGAAAAAATATTTTTTTTTTTTCAAAAGTCGTTCCTTTAAATTTTAAAACGGTGAAGAAGGCACTTATGGGGGGCTGCACACACAACGGAAAGCCATTCAGAGATGGTGGGGAGAGCAGCCATCCACTTCTCCCCTGTAGGGAGCCATGGGGACTCTCCCCTTCCAAGCCAGTGCAGCTTTTTTTACCTTCCAAAAAGGAGAGGAGAAGGAAGGAGCACAAAGAAAAAAAACAAAAAAACTGCCACCTTTTTAAAGGAGGGGGGACCAGACCCCCACAGATCACCTTCCACCACTTTCCTTTTTACCTTGGATGGGGGAAGTGTTTGTTTTTATTTTTTTTGTAGTAGTTACCAGACTGTAATGGATTTGCACGTATGGAGAAGGATATGGCAACCCTTTGGGTCACCTAGCTTCTTTCAATGACCATCCAAGAAAATGGGACTTTAAGGACACTACTTTGGGAAGTAAGACAGCTCTTTTTTGAACTACACCAAGTTACATATTTATGTGGTACCGGGGGAAAAAAAGGGCGATTCTTTAAAAAAAAAAGAAAAAGAAAAAAAAAGTCTTTGGCTGAGAATCGCGGTGGTGTTGGATTCTTTCACTGGTGGGTTAATATAGCATGTTATTCTGTCTATCTTTTAAGGTTTCTGTAAGACTGTTGAACAGTTTTAGTGTTAGGATAATATAAAGCAGATAGATGGCGCTATGTTTGATTCCTAAGAAAAAAAAAATCACCAGCTTTTTTTTTTTTTTTTTTTTTTTTTTTTTCCATTTTTAACTCTTCAAGGATTCAAACGCAACTCAAATCTGTGCTGGACTAAACAAATAATTCAGGACCAAATTTTTTCTCAGAGTATGTATGTGTTATTTACTCAGTAGATGTAAATGGAAAGACTGTTTTCTTTTTTGGGTTCCCTTTCTCATTGGTGATCCATATTGCCCCCCCCCCTTTTCCTCTTCCCCTCACCTCTTTTGTAAATGTAATCAGATATCATTTTATATGTGGACATATTTATACTGGCCAAACATTTTTTTTGTTTGTTTTTACCTTTTTTATTTTATATATTTTTGTTGAGTAGATTCCCTCCCCCCAAATCCACACCGTTTTTTATGTCTCCTTCACTGAAGGGCTAGAGTTTTAACTTTTAATTTTTTATATTTAAATGTAGACTTTTGACACTTTTAAAAAGAAAGAAGAGAGATGAAAACGTTTGATTATTTTCTCAGTGTATTTTTGTAAAAAAATATATAAAGGGGGTGTTTTAACCGGTGTCAATTGCAGTTCTGACTTTCCTGACAAAACTACAAACAGGGAGGCTGGTTGATATCTCAAAAAAACAAATAATAATAAAAAAAGTTAAACCAGCCTATTACTCCATGTTTACACACATCAATCTGCAGGCTTCTTAAAGTCACAGCATCCCTTCCAGCCTAGTGCACTTGCACCTCCAGAGTATTGCTAATACACTGTATGTCGGTTGAAAACTTAAAAAAAAAAAATCTGTATTATTAATCATGTGTAGTATTTATATAGCTCTTTATATCTGTACTTTTATTTTACTTTATGGTATTGTGCAGCCACCTCCATAGTGGAATATTGGCAGCACGTTGTGTAGGGCACTGTTAAACTTCGAGGAGAAGAAAGGAGCAATGTTTTTGCCTGTTTCCAGTAGGTAAACACAGGGGTAGAACATTGAACCACCCACTTTATTATTATTTTTTATTTTCTTTAATGCTACGCCAATCTCCTGTATTTTTCAGATGCTTGCTTTTTATAACCCTTCCTGCTGGGGAGCCTATATTGTAGATGTCCCTTTAGCTCCAATGGGTTAACTAAGCTAGTCTGTATTCAGATGCTTTAAAGCAACCAGTGCACATTGTAAGCAAAAAAAGGGATCCTGTAGCTTTAACTTCTAGACCACGTTTTTTGCACTTTTTTATATTACAAAAAAAAAAAAAACCGTGCCGTTTAAACCACTGGACCTATCTAAATGCCGATTTGAGTTCGCGACACTATGTACTGCGTTTTCATTCTCGTATTTGACTATTTAATCCTTTCTACTTGTCGCTAAACTATGATTGTTTTAGTCTCTTTTGGCATGATGATAGCATATGTATTCAGGTTTCTAGCTATTGTGTTTTAAGATGAAAAAAAGAAAGTGAAAACATCTTTGTACATTTAAGTCTATTATAATAAGAAAAAGACAAAAAAAAAAAAAAAAGATTGTGTGTTTATGTATGTATTAAACGACAGGCACTAGAACTTCTGCCAAATGAGGTAGTTTCTGTTTTTAACATAATTTTTTAAAAACTTTTTTGTAATCCATCCTGTGCAATATGCCGTATGAAATAATTTTGTCTAACCATCAAGCCACAAAACAAAGATTTGAGGCAATATCTTCATGCCAGCTAACCATGTTTATTTCACTGCCTGTCAGATTGTTGATATACTTCTGTAAATAACTTTTTTTTAAAGGAAATAAAATCAGCTGGAACTGAACCCTTAAATTTGATTGGTTTTTGTCTTTATTGTGCATGCATGTGTTGAGCTGCTGAGTCTTCCTAGAGCTGTGACTGTTGCAGAGGAGGAGCTATGGACTGAAATGAACAGTATTGGTCCTTGTAGTCAGGAAAAAAAAAAGTATCCAAAATGTAACAGCCTAGCTCCTATTCTGAACACGTACAGTGAAAGTAGGGAAATAAAATCTTGGCAGGCCATTCCTCCAAGTAATGAGCGACTGTCAGAGCTTGTTCTGCTGTCTAGGAAATTTCTACGAATTCAGTATACAGACTGATAGTCTCACAGTTAACATCAGAGTAAATGCATAGGGAATAATGGCTTACTTAGGGTCGCCCATACATTTAGGGAAAGGAAGCTACGTACTTTATTAATATTTAACATATTTTTCTTAATGTTGTAATAGTTATGATAATAAAATACAGAGTTGTACACATTACATTGTATTTCCATGTTTGTACATTGTATTAACATCGTATTTCCATGTTTGGAAAAAATAGAACACCTACGTTTATAATGGTTATTCGCCTAACATTGGGATAACACCTACTTATATATCTGTTCACCTAGCATTGGGATAGTACCTACTACAGTATATATCTGTTCACCTAGCATTGGGATAATACCTACTTATATATCTGTTCACCTAGCATTGGGATAACACCTACTCTATATATCTGTTCACCTAGCATTGGGATAACACCTACTTTATATCTGTTCTCCTAGCATTGGGATAACACCTACTCTATATATCTGTTCACCTAGCATTGGGATAACACTACTACTCTATATATCTGTTCACCTAGCATTGGGATAACACCTACTCTATATATCTGTTCACCTAACATTGGGATAACACCTACTTATATATCTGTTCACCTAGCATTGGGATAGTACCTACTACAGTATATATCTGTTCACCTAGCATTGGGATAACACCTACTACAGTATATATCTGTTCACCTAGCATTGGGATAACACCTACTACAGTATATATCTGGTCACCTAGTATTGGGATAATACCTGCTATTGTATATATCTGTTCACCTAGCATTGGGATAACACCTACTACAGTATATATCTGTTCACCTAGTATTGGGATAATACCTACTTTTATATCTGTTCACCTAGCATTGGGATAACACTACTATATATATCTGTTCACCTTAGTATTGGGATAACACCTACTTTATATCTGTTCACCTAGCATTGGGATAGTACCTACTACAGTATATATTCTTCACCTAGCATTGGGATAATAATACCTACTACAGTATATATCTGTTCACCTAGCACTGGGATAGTACCTACTACAGTAGATATCTGTTCACCTAGCATTGGGATAATACATGCTGTAGTATATATATTTGTTAATTTAGCATTGGGATAACATCTACTATATATCTGTTCACCTAGCATTGGGATAACACCTACTACAGTATATATCTGTTAACCTAGCATTGGGATAACACCTACTTTATACTGTTCAAATAGCATTGGGATAACACCTGCTACAGTATATCTGTTCATCTAGCATTGGGATAACACTACTATATATGTTTTCTCCCAGAATTGGGATAACACCTACTACAGTGTATATCTGTTCACCTAGCATTGGGATAACACCTACTACAGTATATATCTGTTCACCTAGCATTGGGATAACACCTACTACAGTATATATCTGTTCACCTAGCATTGGGATAACACCTACTACAGTATATATCTGTTCACCTAGCATTGGGATAACACCTACTTTATATTTGTATTCACATAACCTAATTGAAAAAATATTTAAAAATTACTGCTTACCCTTTTTTTTTGTAGCTACAACTCTCATAATGAAAAAAAAAATGCTGCTTAACTTCTTATTTGCTGAAAAATCTTTAGCTCTCAAACCTATGTAAAGTTTAGGAGGGGGCTAAGGATTTATGTATGCCATAAATAACCTTGTCTATACCGTGCTGGCAGATCTCCATTATTAGTTGTACACTAGATTTGCACATCAGGGGAGATCTAATAAAACTGGAGAGTGCAAAATCTGGCGCAGCTCTGCAGAGAAACCAATCTTCCAGGTTTTATTGTCAAAGCTTAATTGAACTGAAGTTAGAAGCGGATTGGCTACCATGTACAACTGTATCAGAATCTGAGTGCACCAGTTTTAGTAAATCCACCCCACTGCTGCTGAATAAAACTTCTGTTGACCCAGAGAAAAAAAAAATCCCCTACTGTCTGTATTAACAAAGGGTTAAAGATCTAGTCTTGAATGGTAAAT